AGGGCTCTCTTCTGGTAGTACTGTTTATCTTATGTTTTACCCTCCTGAGAAAGCTGAGAAACATCAGCTTTCTCCCTTTAAAATAATAGTAGGAAGGTCCACGCACCTGGATGCAATAGTCTACAACTAGCTCTCTTTAAAGTTGATATGATTCATTATTGCCAAGGCCATATAAAGCTTTTCACTAAAAGTTTTAAATTAGCCGGGCGTGGTGGCTCATGCCTGTAATCCTAGCACTTTGGGAGGCCGAGGCGGGCGGATTGCTCAAGGTCAGGAGTTCGAAACCAGCCTGAGCGAGACCCCGTCTCTACCAAAAATAGAAATATATTAAATGACCAACTAAAAATATATATACAAAAAATTAGCCGGGCATGGTGGCGCATGCCTGTAGTCCCAGCTACTCAGGAGGCTGAGGCAGTAGGATCGCTGAGCCCCGGAGATTGAGGTTGCTGTGAGCCAGGCTAACGTCACGGCACTCACTCTAGCCTGGGCAACAAAGTGAGACTCTGTCTCAAAAAAAAAAAAAAAAGTTTTAAATTAAAGATTTCTTTTTAACTGAGTGCTCCCTGGTGATACAAATATCAAAGATTATGGCCTCCAACATGGGTAATTTCTTTATTGGAAACACCAACAAATAAAACATTTCAACCAACGCTGACAGAATCATATCCGGTATTGTTGAACAATCCCTGTGCTGGTAAATTAAAGAGTAATCTCTTCAGACATTTTGTCAGTCCTCTAACTATAGATACCTCTGAAGAAACCCAACACTCTACTAGTTCCCACAAAATTTTCTCTTAATCTATTTTAGATGGAGATTCTATTGGAGAAAAAGGCTAATTATCTTCCTAGGCAAAAAAGAAGATAGGCCCATGCCTTTCTTTGGGAAGATACTTTTGCCTTAGTGGGTGTCACTTTTCATCAATACATGATTAGAAATCTTTCTATAACTTTAGAAAAAACTGCTAATGCAACTATAGTTACCATCAAAGCTCAACAAAAAGCTATTGATTCATTGACTTAGGATGTATTAGGCAATCACACTGCTTTAGGGTATATATTACCCGAGTAAGGAGGGGTATGTGTGGTGGCAAACACCTTTTATTGTCTATACATAAATAGTTACCATGAAGTAGAATTTCAACTAGAAAAAATTAGAAGTCACTTGGTTACAAGTCTCTAAAAAAGAACCTGGGTTGGATTTTTGTCATTATGCTTTTAGTTGGCTCCCTAATGGAATAGGTATTGTGTTACTGATCTGGCATACAAATTCCTTTTCATGCTTATTTACATTATATGTGTAGTATTCAACTTATTAATGCTATGTATTGTTCTTTTATTTCTTCCAAGAAAAGTAAAATCAAAGTATTCCAAGGGCTAAAAAAAGAGAGGTATAGGACAAGGAAATGTGGCAGGGAAAGGTGGGATGAATGTCCTGGTAAATAGGTTTGAGTAAAGAAATCCCACATCCTTTATTTCTCCAAGAGCAGCCAATGGCATACAAAGATCCTTCCCATTATGACTTAAATGATGCTTTTTTCACCTATCACAAAGCCAAACAGACTCTAAAAATTTTCATTTTTACCTTGTCAACAATTTGCTGAAAACTTTTATTTTTGGTATTTTGATGAGAACAAAATACTGTTTATCAAACTTTAAGTTTCTCTCCTCTCTGGCTGTTGAACTTTGGCCCACCCTCAGCCTCTGCCAACATATACAAGCCCTCTTTATACCCCTCCCAAGAACGGGCTGACTTCAGGGTGAAATATTCTCTGATTTAGGATCTGATTCTATCATACTCCATCCTACTCTTCCTCCTTGCCTTCTTTCTAAACTTCTTTGTTCTTCGCTATGAAAAAAATCCCTTGTCTGCTTAAACTTTGAGAAGTTTGCATTTAACCTAAATTAGAATTCATTTTATTAGATAATGTCTAAAAACAGCCCAGGAAAAAAAACAATTACACCCTCAGAAAGGGCATCACACCCCTACTTCCATCCCAACCCTGACCACATCTGCCTGAGAATCCTCAGGTTTCCAGGGCTCTCTAGCTTCACTCAGTATAAAGGGCTCCTTTCTTGGTTGTTGTAAACAGACTGGGGCATCTGGAGGGGAGGCTCCCCAGGAAGGAGTATCTGGGCCTTTAATGATCTCCTTTTGCTAGATCAGGATTGACTTTTGCTTGGAGTCTCCGAGCCCAAGTCTCTGTTACCCAGTTAAAGTTTTTTACATAGTTTTAAATGAGAAGGAGCCAGTGTTTGAAGAATCCAGCAAAATCACTCAAACTCAGTATCTATATTTACAGAAGGGAAGAAAATTATAATGCATTTATATTTCCCATATCAATAATAAAACAAAAATATCTATCCCTTTCAAACAATAAACATGTCATTTAATTATTTCCACTATAACAAACATTTAGCAAACAATGAATTACATGTGCACACTTCTAGTAATTCCAAGTTGTCACAAAAAATTTAGCTATGAACTCTGACATCCAGATCACAGGAAACAGCACAAAGTTGTCCACTGTCAAAAATTCCCCATCCTGAATAACAGAGAAACTGATGTTTTGGTGAGTATTTACAATTCACCAATTTATCTACCATACTTTCTTCTGGAAATGAATTCATTTTTCTGCAGCCTAATGGTAGAGACATTTTTCTTATTTCTTCTCCCTGGTAGCATTACCAAAGCTAAGCCCTGGGATTCTGTTTGAAATCACCTTGAGACAGAACAGCCCACAAAACCTTACAACACTTACTCTGGGGAAGAAAAACAGTAAATAAGAATTATTAACAAATGGAATAAAAGACTAGATTTTTTTCCCTGAAAGCCACCCTTCTTGCCTCATTAGAAATATATTATCTTTCAGGCCCCACTGATAAAATATATTTTGCAGTTAATGAATAAATCTTTTCAAGGTGACAAGTCCAGGGAAGGGTGGTGCTGGCTGCAGTACAGACATGTGTGACTCCAGTGTCAAGTCAGATCGTCCTTTCACTTGGGAAATCCTTCCACCCCCATCTTCCTCATTGTAAGAAACAGTGACCACCATTCTAGGAGACCCTGCTCTGTGACTCTTTGAGCTGAAAGTGGAAATTGCTTTGCAGGTTCTTACAGTTCCTTACTTGCGTGGGTTTTCCTTGTCCTTTGAGACAGCTTATTTTTTTCCTCCCTTCAAAAGTCTGAAAGAATCCAGAGGGCAGCAGTCATTTCTGCTTTCTCCTCAATACCAGCATCTTATTGGCTGAGCACCAGTGTCTACATGGAATGGAAGCTTGGGTTGAGGAAAGAAAACCTTAACGTCTCAAAGGGTTAACTTTTCAGATGACTCCTCTCAGCACCAGGGCACACAGCTATTCCTCCAAGGAGTTTCACCCCCACACTTCAGGCTGCTGACATTCACTAGACACAGCAGGAGACATGACTGCTGTGAGCATTTGAGTCATCCCCAGACAGTCGTAAAACCAGCACTAGGAAAAGACAGAAAGATGGCTGAGGACATATCACCCTGTAAAGTTTCCAAGGGGTAACCTCAAGATAAAGGTAGTCTAGTAAGGTGTGTGTGCCTAAGGAAGATAAAAAGAAGAGAATCACAAAGATTTTTTATAGGGGAGCATAAGGTGATTATTCTGGTTTCCTCTCATGTGAGACGTTCAGAAACAGAACACAAATATCTTAAAAAGAGATCGTCACCACTCTGTGAAAAAAATAATCAACAAAATACTGTCTGTTTTAAAAACAAATAAAGAAAAAATAGTTGTTAATGTTATAAAGTGGAAAGCAGTAGTAGGCATTTGGAAGTGTGAGTTAGGCACTCAAAATTTACGATTTTCAACAGACCCCTAGAAGAGTAAGGCTGTGCAATCTGGATTTGAGTCTTGGACTTGAGACCCTGCTTGCCATACCTTTGGAAAATGCAGGGAAAACCACTTCCTCGGGAGGTGTTAAAACAATCAAATAGGGAGAAATTAAACAGAAGTAGTTCTAGTGCCCTGGGTTTCTTCTACCTAACACAACTCTACCTCGAATGCATTTCCTCTAAATTACCTCACAGCAACCTCAAACTCCTGGGCTTAAGCAATCCTACCATCTCAGCCTCCTCAGTAGCTGCAACTACAGGCATGTGCCACCATGCCTGGCTAACTTTTTCCTATATATTTTTAGTTGTCCAGCTAATTTCTATTTTTTTTAGTAGAGCGGGGGTCTCACTCTTGCTCAGGCTGGTCTTGAACTCCTAAGTTCAAACAATCCTCCTGCTTCGGCCTCCCAGAGTGCTAGGATTACAGGCATGAGCCACCGTGCCCAGCTGGCCTCTGGTCTTTTGAGGAGTCAGCCTGAGCCTTGAAAATGGAGGCACTCCTCTAAGGAAGCAAAACAAAGGAAAACAAAACGTAGGTTTAAGCAACCACAAACTGCCAGTAAAGCTGAGTACATAACCAGAAAATAGCCATCTGGGTAGTCCAAATAAGGCCACCACATAGCTGTATCGAATCAATTACTGAATGTAGTTTGCTTCCTCAAGCACCTCATAAAAGCCTTTCCTCCAAGCCCTTCCAGGGTCCCCAAACCACAAACCATGCTTAGAGGCTTCTAGATTCACAAAAATTGCTATTTGCTTAAATTAACTTATTTAAGTTTTCACACTTCCTCAGATAAATTTTTAATAGGAGAAAGGAAGTATGGGGCCCTCATTCTACGCTGAAGACTCTCCCGTCTCCCCGCACAATCTGGGGGAGACGCTGGGCTGTGGGCGCAGAGCTGCACAGAGAGGGATCGCAGCGGCGGCCAAAGTAAACGTGAAGGGACAGTACAGGATGCCCAGGGGGCCAGCTGCCCAGGCTGCCCTACCCTGTGGCTGGAGGGAAATAAGGCCTAAGGTGTGCCAATGGCGAACTTCCGTCTCAAGACTTCCGCGCTGCCGCGGGGAGGCCCGGGTTCACCGCAGCCGCTTCCGAGGCTCCGACCAGCCCCCTTCCCTCGCACTAGGCACGCTCACCATTTCCCAGCATCTGGGGTGTCCCAGGGTCCTCTCTATGGATATCCCAGTCGCCCTGGTCACAGGGCGACTGCAACTGTGGCAGAGACACCTGGACCGTCCTGGAGGTGGAACGATGGAGAGGGTACCTCCTCTCCGTGCCTGGCGCAAGAAACAAAGGCCGCACCGGATGCCGGAAACTGTCTCTTCCTTTCTGGCTGTGTACCTGATTGGACAGTCTTCACCTCAGCTCCTGATTGGGTAAGGCTCCAGGCCCCACCCCTCTGGCCAAGAGTGACAGGAAACACGATCAGACTGGGGCTGAATCAGGACAGAGTAAGGGGTTTCTTCCTATGGCTCTTCTTAGGCAATTGCCCCTGCTCTGGGACATGCCCTGCCCCAGGGGACATTTGTATTTAACATTTAATATTAATTACATTTTTATGAATTTTATATGTATTATACATACACATACAGTAAATATATATGTTATTCACAAATGGAAATAACATAACAATTAATTTACACTTTGAGTTTTTCTAAACTTCTTGGCCTCTGGTCATTTTGTTTTTTTTGAGACAGAGTCTCACACTTTTGCCCAGGCTAGAGTCCTATGGCATCAGCCTACCTCACAGCAACCTCAAACTCCTGGGCTTAAGCAATCCTACCGTCTCAGCCTCCTCAGTAGCTGCAACTACAGGCATGTGCCACCATGCCTGGCTAACTTTTTCCTATATATTTTTAGTTGTCCAGCTAATTTCTATTTTTTTTAGTAGAGCGGGGGTCTCACTCTTGCTCAGGCTGGTCTTGAACTCCTAAGTTCAAACAATCCTCCTGCTTCGGCCTCCCAGAGTGCTAGGATTACAGGCATGAGCCACCGTGCCCAGCTGGCCTCTGGTCTTTTGAGGAGTCAGCCTGAGCCTTGAAAATGGAGGCACTCCTCTAAGGAAGCAATGTCCAATAGACATAAAATGTGAGGCATGTATATCATTTAAAATTTTCTAGTAGCCACTTAAAAAAAAAGAAACAAGTAAAATTGATTGTAATAGTTTATTTAACTGAATATATCCAAAATGTTGTTTTTATATTTGATCAATATAGAATTATTAATGAAGGTTTTTTGGGGGGAGGGGTGTACTGTTTTTTGGTACTGTTCCTTTGAAACTCACTTTATGTTTTAAGTATTTAGCACATCTCAGTCCAGACCAGCCAGATTCCAGGTGATCAGCAGACGCCCCACATGGCCAGTGGCTGCCACACTGAAATGCAGCTCTGAGGGCTCTGACTCCTGTGACCTCAGAGAGGTGAAGGGCCTGAACCATGCTTTTTTGTCAGAGGAAAGGTAATACCCCGTCCCTAGTATCATCTTTCTTCAGGCCCAAGACAGGGAGTGATGGTGCCCCAAGAGAGAACAGGGGGCTGTAAGCAGGAAGTGTCCACAGATAGACCTCCACATGCACCTGTTGCTTGGTGGGGACCTATTGCCCTTCCAGAAAAACTGAACAACGGATGAGGGAACCGCAAGATTGTGGTCACAGAGCTCTGCAAATACATTACAAAACATGGAATACACACTTAAAACATATGACTTCTGTTACAGGGAATGTTAGTGTTAAGAACTAGGATTCTGAAAGATGACTAAAATCTAATAGTATATCCATGGCCACCAGGGATTAGTGATCCCCTCATATAAACCCAGTGGCCAGGACTTGAGCCTCAGCAAGGGCACTGGTGGGCACAACACCAGCTCCTTCTCCAGTGGTCAGTACAAAGCAGCAGAGAGCTCAGGGCTGGCCTAGGGAATAAGGGACATGGAGCCCATGAGCAGCAGCTGGTAAGGGCCCAGCTGCTCTCTGCTCTGTGCCTAAGCATCACCTGGGAAGATAAACTCATAATTCATTATTAATGTGGAATGGAACAGACTTCACTTTTAAGAGCTAGACTTAGCCTACAGACCCAAAGTTGCAATGTGCATGTCCTTGCTTATGAGAGGCCAGCAAACTTCCTTATGAATGATCTGTGGGGGCAGTCCTTCACAGGGGCCTGAGGCGTTTACCTTCCCTATTTTGCATAAGGAGTTGAGCAGGGTGGTCCTGAAATTTCTATTTTTATTTACAGGTTGATGAGAAAGAGAATACACTACCTAATTGAGGAAATTACGAAAAGAAAGTGTTAGAAAAAATGTGACTCATCATTTTGATCAGATCTCAGAACAGAATGTACAAAGAATATTTAACACTTACACCTTGTCATGAGGCTGGGCCTTCCACTAAAGGGGGCCGATTATGTCACACTGAACCCTGGGAACTGTGGGATTAAAAGTGTGCACAGTGACTACTTGGCAAGCTGGCCTACACGTGGCCAGATAACCACATTTCTCTCAGGGGAAGTGGAGTTATGGTCTCTTTCTCTGTCTCATATAGTTGGGACACCAAGTTTACCTCAATTAAGATGGTGAACATGTTTCTCAGGCTTGGGCTCATGGCATTGATAAGTGGGAAGTGAAGTAAATTTAGAGAAGAGAAACCAGCAGGAGCCCAGTGAGGAGGCTGATGCATCACCATGGGAGACAGGGTGGCCAGACCAGGCTGGACCCAGTGGGAGTAGTGAGAAGTGGCCACATGTTGCGTATATCTGAAGTACTTGCTGTTAAGTTTGGTGTAGAATGTGAGGTGAAGATAATAGTCCAGGATTAATCAAGTTTTTTGGTCTGTGCAAATAAAAATATGTGAACTTATTGGTCTGCACCAGAGGAGAATTTAGGCATCACTCATATTAAATATCTTTGAAAGTCAGTTTGTATAAGAAACAAATGTAGTATTGGAAGACTCAATATTTATAAAATGTAATTAGGGTTAAATGAGGTCATAATGTTGGTTTCCTAATCCAGTAGAACCAGTCCTCATAGGAAGAGGAAGAGACACAGGCATGTGTGCACAGATAAAGGCCATGTAAAGAGGCAGCAAGAAGGGTCCACCTAAAGGCCAAGGAGAGAGGCCTCAGGAGAAACCAAAACCGCAGATACCTCATGTGTTGGACTTTCTGCTTCCAGAACTTAAGAGAAAATAAATTTCTGTTGTTTAGGCCACTCCGTCTGTGGCATTGTTTTATGGAAGCCCTAGTAGAAAGAAAACAAAGACTAAGCCTACATGTTTTCAAGATTTAATATAAATCTAAATTAACCAAGATGGTATGATATTGGCATAAAGATAAGAAAATTAGCAAATGGAACCTAATAGAGAGTCCACAAATAAGCCTACACAAATATGGGCACCTGATTTTTGACAAAGGTGAAAAGGCAAATAATTTGAGGAAGGATTGGATTTTCAACACATGGTACTGGAACAACTAACTAAGTAATCATTTGCAAATAAAATGAACTTGAATCCATACTACACACCACATAGAGAAATGAACTCAAAATGCATTAAATATAAATGTAGAACCTAAAAATATAAAACATCTAGAAGGTAGTTTGTTTTTTTTTCTTTTGAGACAGAGTCTCACTCTGTTGCCCAGGCTAGAGTGAGTGCCATGGCGTCAGCCTAGCTCATAGCAACCTCAAACTCCTGGGCTCAAGCAATCCTCCTGCCTTAGCCTCCTGAGTAGCTGGGACTACAGGCATGCGCCACCATGCCCGGCTAATTTTTTCTATATATTTTTAGTTGGCCAATTAATTTCTTTCTAATTTTAGTAGAGACGGGATCTCGCTCTTGCTCAGGCTGGTCTTGAACTCCTGACCTCGAGCGATCCGCCTGCCTTGGCCTCCCAGAGTGCTAGGATTACAGGCGTGAGCCACCACGCCTGGCCGAAATAGAATGTCCAATAACAGGTAAATGGACAAAATGTATTATAGTTATATAAAGTAACACAACTCAGCAATAAAAAGAAATCAACTTTTAAAGCATGAAAAAACACAGATTAATGTCAAAATACTATTGATAAGTGAAAGAAACAAGAACAAAAAGAGTAAAATTCTCTTAAAAGACAAACTAATCTGTAACAATAGAAAGCAGATCAGTGATTGTCAGGGCAGGGCAAGGCAGGGAGGGAGGACTGAGAGGTGGAGATTATAAGGGATATTAGAAAACTTTGAAAGGTGATGGATATAGTTACTGTCTTTATCGTAGTGATAGTTGATTTCATAGGTGTTTACATACCAAATTGTGTCAAACTTATTAAATTGTACATTTTATTTTTTTATTTTTATTTATTTATTTATTTTTATTTTTTTGAGACAGAGTCTCACTCTGTTGCCCGTGCTAAAGTGCTGTGGCGTCAGCCTAGCTCACAGCAACCTCAGACTCCTGACCTCAAGCGATCCACCCACCTCAGCCTCCCAGAGTGCTTAAATTGTACATTTTAAATTGTGCAATTGACTATATGTCAACATACCACGATAAAAAATGGAAGGAAAACCATATGTGGATATATCTCCTCTGCATATAATGTCCAAACTTAATAAAACTAATTAATTAATTGATACATTAATTAATTAGTACAACAAGGGCAATATTCTGTATTGATTCTAAAAGCTAGAAAAAAGTCATCAAATAGTATGTACAGAAGATTCCCAACATGTCCTCTTTGGCTCTGACAAAAATTTATGTTTCAGACCATGGCTAAAAGCTATGAAGTAGTCCTGGGCCATAGCTTCTATCTGATGTTAGGCTTCACATCACCTTCATCACAGCCACATTTCAAAACAATTGCATCAGCACCGCATAGGAGCCCCCGTGTAAATAAGACAGCAAGAGAAGCAGAACATCATCCGGTTCCTGAGAAGAGGCTGTTACTTCCTAGCCCATGAGATATTTAATACATATTTTGGAATAAATAAAGTAAGAATTCTTGCATTGAAGCTTCAATTTGTTTATTTTGAAATATTAAGGGAGTACAAAAGTTTTTGTTACATGGATACACTCTATAATGCTGAAGTCAAGTTTTTCAGTGAGCTTCCCATCAGGACAGTGTTTATTGTACTCAATGGGTAAATTTTTAATCCCTTACTCCCCTCTCATCCTCCCCCTTCTTGGTTTCCAATGTCCTTTACATCTCTTTGTGCCCATTGTTTAGCTCCCACATACTTATTTGAGAGTATATGTGCTGTTTGTTTTTCGTTTTTGAGACACTTTGCTTAGGATAAGGGTCCCCAGTTCCATAAGTTGCTGCAAAAGAAACTATTTTATTCCTTTTAATGGCTGAGTAGAACTCCACAGTGTGTGTATGTATATGTGTGTGTGTGTATCACATTTCCATTATAACACTTACAAATTGATGGTCTCTTAGGTTGATTACACAACTTTGCAACTGTGAATTAGCTTCAATTTTTTA